TCTCTCTCTCTCTCTCTCTCTCTATCTCTATCTCTGTCTCTCTCATTCTCTCTCACCCTCCCTCTATCTGTCTCCCCCTCTTTCTCTCCTTGCCCCCTCACACATATGAAGGACAGAAGGAACCAGTGTTTCTGTGTAACGTTCATCATACTGCGCTCTCACTCTAACACCTATTATAACGGCTGACACTAGAGAGCGCTCTTCCCACCTGTCGCTGAAGTTCCAGAAGGCGCAGGTTGGGTTGATCAGTCCAGGCTTGATGTGTTTCAACGTGAGAAGTATTGGCTCAGATAGTGGTGCCACCTTGTGGTGCTGCTCACCATACGAAGCCGACAGCACCATTGAGTTAACAATCGTGTTCGTCGTACCAGAGCGCCTCCTGGTGGCAGGTTCTAGATAGTCTCCTATGTTGTTGTAACTCAGGAACACCATCTTGACCAAGCCGGCTGTGAGCGAGAGCGAAATGTGAGTCATCAAAACATGTGAACAGTTACAATAATACCTATATCGAAATCACTATTAGGTTGAGATATCGTGCAATATTACGGGAATCGTGATTGATTGCACCTTTCACAAATTTGAAATAGATATAATGAAAAATTGCTAGTGTTAGTGCTTGGTTTAAAAAACAGAACACAGAGATCACAGTAAACCTTTTGTAGCAACTATTGTATCTATTGTATCTATATTCATCTGTCAACACGAGGAACATCTAGTGAAGCAAGCGCTAGTAAATCCTGACACAGCAGGTTGCAGTAGGGTTCTGCAGCAGGGTTTTACATGCAGTAACTCGTATATCTTATAACTGTGCGTGCTCTCAGCTTAGGATGCCCACGGTTGTTACTTACATTCATCAATTAACCCTTAGCAGACAGAGGTGAACTGTTTTTATAGAAGCAAGCATGGGAAATTATGCACACGACTAGACCTCTTACTATGTACCTGAGCTTAGTAAAGGCAGCATGGGAAATTATACACACAGCTAGACCTCTTACTATGTACGTGAGCTTAGTAAAGGCAACATGGGAAATTGTACACACGGCTAGACCTCTTACTATGTACGTGAGCTTAGTAACGGCAACATGGGAAATTATGCACACAGCCAGACCTCTTACTATGTACGTGAGCTTAGTAAAGGCAGCATGGGAAATTATACACACAGCCAGACCTCTTACTATGTACGTGAGCTTAGTAAAGGCAGCATGGGAAATTATACACGCGGCCAGACCTCTTACTATGTACGTGAGCTTAGTAAAGGCAACATGGGAAATTATACACACGGCTAGACCTCTTACTATGTACGTGAGCTTAGTAAAGGCAGCATGGGAAATTACGTAATGCAACCCAAACTTTTATTAACTTCTACTAGGTTAGATTCCCACCCAACGAGTTCTTCCATCCCTGTGAGGTTAGTGATACATCAACAACTCTCACTATCAACAGGTCTCGTAGTGGCTATTTCATAATTAGCATTGTGTTCAACATCAGTCAGAATATAATGTTGGAACGTACGTTTGTGGCGAGGGAAGGCCTTTGTACTGAGTCGAATGGTGCTCTGCTGCCAGTAGGTGGCGCTGCCGCTGCCGCCAGGATTTGGGTACTCCACATATGGCACCGTCGTCGCATTCACAATGTGAATGCTCATCACTGTAACCCACGGCAACCATTATAAACATCAATGATGAACAGCAACATAAAGCTACAATATGATAGACATTACTTTCTCTTGACAGAATCAAACACATTGCAAAAATATCCATTATCATTGTGACATGTAGCGCCCCCTGTAATCGTGTAGCGCTGTCTGGTCTGTGACATGTAGCACCCCCTGTAATCGTGTAGCGCGTCTGTGACATGTAGCGCCCCCTGTAATCGTGTAGCGCTGTCTGTGACATGCAGCGCCCCCTGTAATAGTGTAGCGCTGTCTGTGACATGTAGCGCCCCTGTAATCGTGTAGCGCTGTCTGTGACATGTAGCGCTGTCTGTAATCGTGTAGCGCTGTTTGTGACCATGTAGCGCCCCCTGTGACCATGTAGCGCCCCCTGTGACCATGTAGCGCTGTCTGTGACATGTAGCGCCACCTGTAATCGTGTAGCGCTGTCTGTAATCGTGCAGCGCCCTCTGTGATTGATCAATATCTCCTTTATTCTCCCAGCGCCCTCTATAATTGTGCATTGCCACTCACGCATGTTGGCGCTCGGTTTGTCCTGGCTGTATGTCGTGTCGATGCGGGATGCTAGCATGTTGGCATTCTCCTCCATCGTCATTAGCAACGTGGTTGCCGTGCGCAGCCTCGTCATCGCAGGGAGGTCCTCCCAACACTGACTCTCCTCCTCCGCTAGCATGTTGCTACCTGTGTTCACCATAGCCTGTGCAAAAACCCCTCATAGGTTAGCCGAGCAGTAATTAACTTGTTAGTTAATGAGCGTGGTGATTAACGAGCCGTCTGGTAAAAACACATCCCGGTTTAAACGTGTGATAAGGTTTTTACGTAGATGTGCATGTGATCGTATTTTATAGCGGGGCGTTATTACACGCGTGATTAACTCATAAACGTGCCGTAGCACCTCAGTGAGGGCGGGGTAGCGAGGAGACAGTAGCAGTACCAGACACAAGGCACATGCTGGTAGTTAGGGGTCAACAGGACAGACCAGTGCTACTAACCCATCACTAGGTCTCACAAGGTGTCTCAACTTGTCACTCAGCTATCAGTCAGGGTGTCAGTAGGTGGCAGCACTACGGATTAAGCCACCACCAGGTGTCACCAGGTGTCACCACCGGTCACTCACCTCGGTCCACATGTCCCACTCATTAACATGATGCAGTTCGTTAGCCGCTCGCGTCAGCATATCTTGCATCACCGTCGTCGTGACAACCAGATCGCCTCCCACCAAGCCACCCGATGCTGTTGCAGTGCTCATCTCCATAGCAACGGAGGTAACCGACTCCCCATCGTTGAGCCGGCTGCTGAGTGCAGAGACGGAAGCAGAGACGCAGTTGCTGAGGTCGGGGGAAGCTGGCCACCAGATGGCGCCCTTGTCTGGATCGAGAATGCACCTCCAAGCCGCCATGCCTGCAGCAGACAAGTGAACAAATGTTAAATATTGAGCCACATGGCTCTATATTAGTGCCACCTCACGAACAGTAGCGTCCTATGACAAACAGTAGCGCAATCTGGTGAACAGTCAGATAGCCTCACAAAGGAAAACACGCATATGTACAATAAACGTTCAGGAGTATCAGTGATGGGCACCAGGTGGAGCCACGTACCTTGTCTGTTGCCTGGGCAGGCCATGACTGCCTTCTCTCCGCTCGCAGTTCTTGGCCAGCTTACGTTTCTAACATCCGTCGGTTGACAGTACTCGGTGTGGTGGGTAGATGGCGTTGGTGTCGTGGTGGGGGTGGTAGTGAATGAGGGAGCAGGAGTCGTAGGTTCTGTTGTCGTCATAGGTGGCTCCGTGGTTGTCTTCATGATGAACGGATATTCTACATAATGACACAGAATACTCCAGTATAAACACCCGCTACAACAGCTACATACAACAAGCTACAACAGCTACATACAACAAGCTACAACAGCTACATACAACAAGCTACAACATGAATGTTGAATGATCGCTGTCTCCAGTATAAACACCCGCTACAGCAGCTACATACAACAAGCTACAACATGAATGTTGAATGATCGCTGTCTCCAGTATAAACACCAGCTACTACAGCTACATACAACAAGCTACAACAGCTACATACAACAAGCTACAACATGAATGTTGAATGATCGCCGTTTCTCCCACCACAACTGAAACCCATGCTATCCAACCACTGTCTTCCTCTTTTTCTCTTTCTCCTCCTTGCCTATTATCTATCTCTTTTCCTCTTTCTTCTCCTCCCTTTTAATCTTACTCCCCCACCTTCTCTCTCTCTCTCTTTCACTTTCTGTTTGCTTCCCTTATTTAATTATTTGCCTGAAATCTCTTTCCTTCTTTATTGCCATTGCTGCCTCGCTTGGAATAGATGACTATATGTAGGAACAGTATGTGAACTAACCTGTTGGATCGGTGACTTTTGTCGTGGCAGCAGGAGTCAGTCGGCTTGTCGTGGTTTTCTCTGTCGCCATCGTCGTCTTTGTTGTCAGCGTCGTGGTTTCAGCGCCCTCTGGCTTGTAGTTTGGATCTGAGTTAATTACGAAATATAACCAGATTCACATACAGCCCTAACGCCATCTGGTGATATTCTGACGACTCGTGAAAGATATTTAAAAGTTGAAATGTTCTTAGTTACACAGAGCTGTCTATAGTATGCACTATAGCATGGTACTCTATAGCATGGTACTGTACCACTGCATGGTACTCACTCCAACTTACATTACACAGAGCTGTTACACAGAGCTGTTACAGAGCTTAGTTACACAGAGCTGTCTATACTGCATGGTACTTACTCCAGCTTACATTACACAGAGCTGTTACACAGAGCTGTTACAGAGCTTAGTTACACAGACCTGTCTATACTGCATGGTACTCACTCTAGCTTACATTACACAGAGCTGTTACAGAGCTTAGTTACACAGAGTTGTCTATACTGCATGGTACTCACTCTAGCTTACATTACACAGAGCTGTCTATACTGCATGGTACTCACTCTAGCTTACATTACACAGAGCTGTCTATACTGCGTGGTACTCACTCTAGCTTACATTACACAGAGCTGTTACAGAGCTTAGTTACACAGAGTTGTCTATACTGCATGGTACTCACTCCAGCTTACATTACGCAAGTATTACAATTAACATATCAAGTACATATTTACTCCTGGCAACTAAATTCATTTTGATAAAAGCCCATCAGGGGTTCAACACATAAGTGTGGATGGATTTCTAGCTGATAAACTTCTACAGTGAAATACATAGACACTAGGCTACAGTGGCAGTGCATAATAACATCTCTAAATGTGCAAGTGAACGTGGCACTATGAAAACACACAGATGCGATCCATCAAACGCTAGCCTTGAAGTGTGCAGGCACTGCATTTAGTAATTTCATATGAAGATCTTGTGTCTGTCACGTACGCTTGCAGCACCATTTCAGTTCTCTCTTTTCTCTTGCTTTTATCTTTTTGTTCTCTAGTCTATGTACGTTTTGAGGCTGGGATAATAGTTTTCACGTCAGATAGCTCCTAATACTCACCGTGACATTAGGTGAGTGCATATGAAGTGATATTGTCTATCTTTACATAAACACTAGAAGACGGATTGACGTGGATAGATGGGGCTTCTTAATCAGAGCAACAGCATTGTGACTGCTAAGCCACCCCAAACTCCACGACAGCATGGCCGCTCTCGCCCCCCTTTATGGCTCAATTGTCTACCACATGCCACAGCTGATTTTCCGTAAGCTGAATTCTTACGCTTTTTTACTTATAAGTTCTTACAGCGACCAGTTACTCCTGTCCTATGTAATACGGCCGGGCCGGGGCTGCGTCGTCGACTTATAAGCAGCTGCAAATATATTAAAAATCCACCCATTAGTTTTATGGCAGAACTTTGATAAAATAGTGATACGAAATAGTGCCCGCCCCATGTTACTACTTTCAAAAAATCATGTGACGCTGTTTCTTACTTAAACTGAAGTTCAGTATTTATCATTAAAATTTTTGGCGATGGAATTGCCACATATACCTAATTCTCGAACATTGTCTTTGATACATGTTTGCTTATTCAGCTCTTAAAACTCTAAATTTTGTCCACAACAAACATGCAATCATAGAAATTTCTAATTGTTTTTCGGACGCGGCGGACTTCGCCGGCCGTTCTGGATTGCCCATTTGCTGGAGGTTCCCCGCAAGTCCGGCCCACTGCTACAAATTAGTGCTAGCATTGTGGCAGTGTATGATCCTGAGTGTGGCGAAGGGGCACTGCACTGCAGTTTGACAGCGCCAAACCTAAGCCAGTTGGGAGGCAACGTAATAGCGATCGCCTTAAACATGTTAACTTTAGTAGGCTTGCTTTGGCACCTACGGTGCGGGCCGTAGCTACAGTTTAGTATGCGATAATGGCACGTACAGCGCATACCGGAGCACTATAATCTATGCCGCTATCGAGTCCGCCATTACATTGTGACTCTCTAGACGCACCATAACAGACCCCTGCCGCTTCCACTCCGTGGTTTTAACAGGTCCTGTCACTCTCTCCGGGGGGGCCTGCGCCGGTAACGAGAAGGATGAATGCCATAAATCTCGTTTCAGGGCTTAGTTTATGGAGCTTGTTTGATGCGGGTGTCATGGCAACAACAGCTTGTTTGATGCGGGACTTGTGGCAATAAGAGAATGTTTGATCCAGGAATCAACGGGGAATCATGGTTGTTTGACGCTGTCCATATTGTAAACGACCCACTAGGGACATGGCATCTGTGTTTCAAAGTGCCACATAGAACTTGACATTTGTTTTGTGAGCGAATGAGTGAGTGAGTGAGCGTGTGAGTGAGTGAGTGAATGAGTGAGTGAGTTAGTGAATTAGTGAGTACGGGTGATCGCAGGATGGACCGGGCGAGTTATGTGAGCGAGGGGGTTACGGGAGGTGGACGTGAGTGAGTGCGTGAGAGTGAGTTAGTGAATTAGTGAGTAGGTGATCGAGCGAGCGAGTTAGTGAGTGAGTTAGTGAGCATAAAGGTACATATGGCACGAGATTTACCTACTTGCAATGCACAGCCACGTGGCATTTAGTAAATGAGTCCCCTTAACCGAAAGTAAGCCATCACTGGCCTACAGTGACCTTCAGTGAGCCATCACTGGCCTACAGTAACCTTCAGTGAGCCCCCAATGACCTTAAGTAGCCACTGATTAGTTGGACTGTGTGCGAAGTTAGAGTCTCAACACCGGATAGTTTGTCTACTGACTGACTGCTGCCTGCTGCTGATGGATTGTCAAGTGCACAGTTGTTGTTGTTTGTCGTTTCATGACTGCCCCGGGG